CCCCAAAAACATTTATGAAAGTCCCACGTCCATGTGCTTGCAACACCACGGAAAAGTCAACGAATGTTTACTTATGTACGTGAGTTAGAAATCAATGCATTTGTGTTTGCGCGCTTGAGTGACCACAAAATCAAATACAAGCGGGGATCAAAGGAAAACATATCAGATTTATATACTTTAATGACAAGCGCAGGCGCTAAAATTTATTTACGCCAATGCATTCCCACTTGCATTTGCGCTAAAATACGTATGCTCCAAATTTTCTCGTTTTACAGTACTCAACAGGTCAATCGAGGTAAAATCGAGGTTAACATAGTGAAAACGAGAGGTGCTGTGAGCACTGAGCTCACAAATCTATCCCCCAACTCCCATATGAGTATAGTGGCCATTTCTGGTCATGAGAGAGCAGAAATACCTGTCTGATCAAAACGTAAAGTATAAGATGCACAATGGCACTATGTGATTAAGATTCTGTGAAAACATTAAATTTTATTCACTGGTATAGTTGGAGCTGCGGATAAGAAATGGGTACCCCTGATTTAATATCAGAGGTACCAATGTCATATCCGCTACTCCTGGCAGTGTCTCTGTTTTGTTATGGGAAAGCTGAATATGCGTCCAATCAAAAAGTAAAGTAGAAGGTGAACAGTGGCACTGTGCAATAAAGATTATGTGAAGGTATCATTTAATCTTATTTAGTGGTATAAGAGAATTTGCAGATATGAGATTGGTACCTCCAATTGTATAAAAAAAAGTGGCGGTGTTTATGTTTTGCTATTGGAAACCCGAAATATTTGTCCGATCAAAAAGTAAAGTAGAAAGTGCACAATGGCACTATGAAATAAAGATTCTGTGAAAATATCATTAAAGTTAATTCAGAGGTAAGGAGTTGAGGACAAGATAGGTATCCCTAAAGTGAAACTGACGGACAGAAGGAAGTACAGACGGACGGAAGGACATTGTTTGTCCGTTTATCTCCTTTTAATATGACATTTTTTTGTTCAATATGCAGCTACAAGTTTCTTAAGAACAGCCGACAAAGCGAGACTGATTATCAACTGATAATCAGAAAATCTTCGGGTTCCTTGACTCAATCGATTTTCATATTTAAATCCTTACATGTATCAAAAAATACTCAGTTTAGATGTCGATGATTTATAACATTTTATAAAACTTCAATTTACAGCTTTTTTACATACATTGATAAGAAGGAATTCGATGTCGATAATGACAATATCAAGTGGATATCGAAACAAATTAGTGCTATGAAATTGGAATTACTGGGTACTATATATAAGACTGAGTGCTGTGTCGATATCGTCGGTATCGACAACATCATTATGATATCGTATCGATATCAATCCTGATCTGTAAAATTTATTTTCAAGGTAATGTGTTACATAATTAATTATATGTATATAATTTTAAAAGACCACAAGGGATGTCGATATTAGTTCAAATTTGACACGAATATGTAAATAGAGGGTTAGGGGTTGTTATTGTCAGGAATTAGATATAGGGTAAGGTTTTAGGTTAAGGGAAGGGTAAAATTATGTGTTGAAAATCATGATTTTATATCGATACGATATCGTCAATATCGACGAGATCAACTTCAAGGCAAACTTAGTACTCGGAAAAAAATTCGCACAAGTCTTGAAAAAAGAAATACAGCCACAAGAACGATAAAAAAATGATCCGATATCGAAACAATATCGTCGATATCGACAATATCGATGGCAAATACAATCTAATCTTCGTCAATATAAAGTATTGAAACATAGACACACATATACCATAAGGACGGTAGCAACCAAGGGTTGAGCAAGCATGATTTGATATCGAAGCGATATCGTCGATATCGACACTTACAGGAAAACTTCATAAAGTGATAGTATTCAAGTAACTCACATGTAAAAAAGCCACGATATTTTTTTTTCTTCGGAGGGGGGGGGGGGAGGGGGCATAATCCATTGAACATTACAAGAAGGAAAACTTCGTGAACTAAAAATATTCTAATATACACATAAGTCTGAAGAAATAATGTAGCAAACTATATTACGTAATCTGTCGATATCGTAAAAACATCATATCTTGGACATAACTACTTTTTAAGGGTTCTAAAGTCCATTCATTCTTCGGCTTTTTCTGACAGTTGTAACTATTTTGAAAATTTTAATCCCTAAAGACAAATTAGGGATGCACTTGTTAAACACTATAATATGGTTTGAAATATATTAAGATAAAAGGATCATATTCCCACCGAAAAACATCCCCTTTACATGGCATCATTGACAAACAGACAAACATGACTAAATACATTTTTATAAAGAAATAGTTCCACCTCATGCAAAGTATTAAGGCTTCCCATAGAATATCGCAAGGCACTCTGTGCTTTCAATTCTCTGCACTACCAATATATGACGTCATTACGGATACTGCAAACCTTAGTTGTTATGACGGGGAGAAACATTACACCTTATTATAAATCGTAAGTAAAAAATAAGAACGCTGTAGCAAATTTATACACCTTAATTGTATTTTTAGATCTTTTATGTCTGAATATTTAAAATACTTCGTTTAATTACCATTGAACGAAATTTTGCTTGCTCAAAATGCCTAAAAATGTATGCTTTAGAAATGTACTCTGTTTTATACCCGTGATTAGAGGTAGATTTTATTATGTGTGTATAAAAGAGTCTGGTGCAGGCAATTAATGAGGAATAATTTGATATCTTTTGTGCAGATCTGTAAGAGGAGTTTGTTTTCTAACCGTATCTTGCTTGGTTAAAATACGTGGCGGCTTTGTGTTAATACAGATAACAATTTTGAGTGGAAAACACTCTCAAATGTGTCGGTAAGTTGAACTTGTCGTGAAATATTTTGTACTCAAGGAATACTATGACTTTTCCAAGCACATAAACGGGTACACACGAATTCGATGAATTGATTTATGCAACAATTTTTTTTTTATAATAATTGTGTTAAAATCTGCATCGAAGCAATTTTTCTGAAACGTTTCAAAAAATTATAAACCGTCACGGTAGCTCAGTAGGTAGGGCGCTCGCTCCGTGGTCGGAAGGTCGTGAGTTCGACACTCGGCCGCCACTGACCTAAGTCGATAAAAATAGGCAGCAACTGTTCCTTCGCCAAGCGCTGGACACTTTGAAGTGAAAGTTGCGGGTTCTTCGGATAAGACCTTAAAAACCGAGGTCCCGTGTCACGGCAGACGTAGGCACGATAAAGATCCCTCACTGCTTAATGGCCCTAAGTGTCGAGTAAAGGTCTTCACCGCTATATGGTGACGCCTCTGTATGATTGAAGAATTCTCGAATGGGACGTAAAACAACACACAATCAATCAATCAATATAACTTGGCACACTAGTAGAATATACTGTGGTACATAATTCTGAATATTGGTTTTTTGATTTTAGTGAACGATGTTGCCATCCAATTTCTGTTAGATTACTTTTCCTACAGTTTTGGTCTGATTGCAATAAATCTTGCTACAAAAAAAAGCCAAAACAAGGATTATTATTCTATCTATTGCTGTTGCAAAGTTTCAAGTCCAAGTGCTACTTTCCTCTTTCTTTGTTATAAGTACAAACCAGTAGAGCTACAGTCTCGTCAGAGACTTCCTATTTAACATAATTCAGAAGAATAGAAAAATGCAACACGTCAACAAAAAAAAGTAAATAAACACATAGACTTGACGATTTAATCTTTGACACGCACATTGATGCACATTTAAATAATATTGACACATTTATTCGAAATTCAAAGAAGTCTAATGTCTTCTTCCTTTAATGTGCTTAATTGACCTTTATTTGAGATAAGAATTGAAAAAATACTTGGAGTGAGAAATTTCTTTAGATTTTTTTTAAAAAGTAAATATACAGATAAAATTCATGATTTATAAATTCTATAAACAGAAATAACACAGATTATCTTTCTGCCTTTCATGTTATGAAAAATTTAATATACCAACACTATCAATTTTAAAACACTTTCATGAAGACGATTTTTCCTACAAATTGTTAGTCCATTTTTTCCACACTGACTTGTCTACAGATTTTCCCGATTATGATCAGGAGCACTTGGCGGGTGTGACAGGTCAACATGGGACACTTTCTCCTCTATGGCACCAGATCTCACCTCTGATGTTTGAGAGGTCTGTTTGCTTTGCTCTCAATTTGTATTGTTCCATTGGACATTCGAGCTTGGTTATTGTTTTGTTATCCCCATATTTCCTTAAAATCAATCCCAATTTGTGACAGGGATGACAACACATCTTTAATGATGAACTGTCATTATCTTTCTTCGAATCGATTTATATATCGGCTGATTCGAGGTGACATTGGTCATCTGATATTTTAGTTTAAGTAGTAAACCAGTTCACATTTAGTTCTGATAGGTGAAATATTGTACATTCTCAATTCAATACCTTTTCGATTAATAGATCTGATGAATTGAGACGATGTCTAACTCATCTTTTTGAAACGTAAAATATAACCCACGGACTCCTTGAATTGCATATTTCATATATATGCAAATTTACTATCTTAATAAAATGTAAATGTCAAGTGATTCGAAATTATTATACGCAAGCAAATATAAAAGCATTTGAAATTTTAAAGGGAATTTTCTTATCAATTAAAAAGAAATGCCACCAAAAAGACAATGCAGATACACCATTAAAACAAAATAGGGCTTGCGCACGATGTTGCTGTTATGTATGCACAAAACACACCGCAATAAAATCCATATTTTAATTTTCATGTAATCTTTCCTCCTGTCTTTTTTAGGTGCACAGTTTTATGTTGGTGTAGTGGTTTTGGTAAAAATTCCATTGTGTTTCTTATTATCGTGTACAACTGCGGTTGATTTTGCTGAAGATTGGAAAGGTTTACTGAAGCAGTATTCTTACCTATGTGGCAAGGAACATATCTGTGACGAAAATGTATTTTCGAACACAACACATGTAGAACATGAAAATATCAGCATGTCATGTCCTAAGTGTAACTGTGACGATTTCTGCCCGATAACTGGAGAATGTTGTATCGATATTGAAGTCAACACGTGCGTGCGAACGTCGTACGGTCCAGAGTGGCCAGATAAAATGTTTTACATGAAAAATTACTGCCCCTCCAATACAGAGAAGAAACTTGTAAGTAGATGTCAAGCTACAAATGCAAATGAAAATATGCTTGAAAGAAATCCAGTTACTTCAAAGTCAACCAATATTACGTACAGTAATATCTACTGTGCAAGATGTAACAACGATGTTAATGTCCTATCGTGGAGCATCGCTACAAACTGCATCATCAAACTGGATACTTTCACAACTCTGGATGAGTTGTGGAATTATATTCTAAACGGACATCTTTCTTTTATGTTTATTCCGACAGAGGAAATTCGTACAAATTCACAGGTTCCCAGAAGCTGTAATGCTAATCTTATCAACAGGTGCAATATTACAGGCGTGGCTAAACAATTCGACTATAATATTGAAAAAGCCTGCAACACTTTATATCAACCGATTGGTTTCTTCCAGAATCCTTTCTGTCTGTTGTGTAATATTCAAGATGAGACATTTGATTCACCAATATCTAAGTGTAATGCTACGGGACGGATACAAGAAATCGACGATTATTTCCGGAGTTCATGTCTAAATGAAACAGTGAATGCTTTGAGGTATCCATATAAAAATGAATACTGTGAAGAATGTAATATAGTAAGGACAGAAAGTGGAGACATTCAGTTGCGTGATACGGAATTGACAGTTCATATATACAATAGACCAGTTCAGAAGTTTCTTCGACTGAAGACCCAAAACCAAGTTTACTTATCAGAAGTAACGATTGGTGCTTTTGATTTCACAGAAAATTACTCAATAAGCCAATATTTAGGAAAAATTAAACTTGGATCAATTAAAAACCTCCAAATAAAAATTCCAGCGAATGCCGCTGACTTTGGCTGGAAAAAGAAGAAAAAATGGTGTCAAACGGCAAAGAAATATTTCTTTCCTGATAATGAAAATCTGAACCCGCTAATATATGAACCTTCTTGTTCATGCAATTCTAACTGTAGTAAATTAGACAACTGTTGTGATGTCAAAGGCAGCATAATGAACCAAGTTAAGAAGTGGAGTTGTGTGCAGACCTCTTTGCCACGATCCAATGATTTTTACTCAAATCCCTCTTTTATGATCAGTAGATGTTCAAATAAATACAACAATTCTGTCATAAAGCGTCTTTGTGAATCAGACAACAATGAAGATCTAACTTTCATTCCGGTTACAGACAGTCGTACAATTAAGACCTACAAAAATTATTTCTGTTTTCTTTGTTTTACTTCAAATAAAAACAGTGTTGAAGAACAAACGTATATCATTCCATGGAAGATGCATTTTGAATGTCCAAACATCTTCAGCTTCAAGTATGACGTAAAGTTGGTGTCTTTGATGCAAGAAGCCTTATCCAGAAACTGTCGTATAAGTGTCCTTCCGTATTTACCATACCCACCACCAATGTGTGAACTTCCGGGAAGAGAACAGTTGTATTGCTCATTATGTGAACGATCCGGAAAAATGGTAGAAAACTGTATTAGAACCAATCAAAAGGAACCAGATTATCGTTCAATATTCTCAGTATTTGAGAAAGTTGATAGCACTCGTGCAGAAGACCCAAGAATGCAATGTTCAACTTATGAAATGTTTGATATGTACACGGTAAGGCCTTTATACTTTACACAATGGCTTAAATAAAGAGAAAAAATACTATCAGAACAAAAAAATGCTTTTGAAATCTTTCTTACTCTTTACATAAAAGTTTATTTTTTTTAAATTTCACCATTTGTCATATTTTTCCAAAATTTTCATTATCCTTTTCAGGAAAAATGTCGCAGTTTCCTCTGTTCTTCGGGAAAGCAACTTGTTAATGGACAATGTATTCACATGTTTTTATCCTTTACTTCGAAAATTTATAATATAGCTTTTACGGCAAGTTTTCACAACAGTGTAGGTCATAGAAGATTGGATGTTGACCTTTTGATGAAATCAATAACTTTCATTTTCACAGAGGAACTATTCAATGATACAAATTTAATAGTTAGACTATTACACTACCACGTACGCTTCAATAGAAAATGTCAAAAGATAATCACGTTATCAGAATTGCATCCGTTGCAATTAACAGTGTTTATAAAAATTCATATTTTAAGCAATTATTTGGCTGGGAATGAAAATGTAGATCGAAATTTAATTGAGAATCGTCTTTTTAAAGCAACCACGAAAAAAGGATCAAGTGGGAACATATCCTTCGAATATTTTGAAGATGTAAATGCATGGTTTCTTCCTAACATAGAAAAGGCTTTTTCATTTGATTCATTTTGTAATAAGCGATCTCGGTCGGGAAGCAGCGATGGTGATGAGATTGGTCTTGATATTACAAAGCTTTTATTTTGTCCGCAGATATCACTATCGACCAAGGAATTCACTTTGTCAAATGACGGACTCGAAATTGTTGTGCCCGTTTTGAATAGAACATTCTATTACAATCAGTTTTCAATCGCTGAAGACAGATCAGCGCGGATATGCTCTAGCGATTATAAGTCTAACGATGTATCGAGAAATGACTTTAGTTCTCAATATGTACCTTCACGTCCTCGTACGACATCATATAATTTGCTTCAGATACTTACTATTATTTCGACAAGTATTTCTCTTGTTTCGCTTGTGGTTACGTTCATTGTGTATTGCATCCTCAGAAACCTGCGTTCAATACCGGGTAAAAATTTGATGTGTTTTGTATGTTCCCTGTTTTTTGCACAACTGATTACCCTCATCAAGGACACTTTCACTCGCTATAGCATGACTTGTACATTTGTCGGTATTCTTACCTATTACTTCTGGCTTTCAACATTTACATCTGCTACTTCTTGTTGCTATCACATGTTCCGTGTGTTTGTCTGCAATGTCCAGTTTAAGAATAAAAATCCCTGCGATGGTACCATATTAATTTACATCTTATACACATATCTGACCCCGCTGTTATTTATCTCCATTACTGTAGGATATCATATGAGCCGTTCATCCTTTACCGGATTTGGAGGTAATGAATGCTTTATAGACGGTATGGATAACAAATTATTCGCTTTTATCATTCCAATCTCTGCATTTTGTTTTGTTAACGTTCTGCTGTTCACGGTTACATTTTGTAAAATTTACAAATCTCCTGAACTTGAAAGGGGTCCCAGTCGAAATTATATCTCTATATATTTAAAGTTGTTTCTGCTCACAGGAATTGCGTGGATATTTCAGATAATTGATGGATTTTTTGATATCTCCCCATTTTCTTATTTAGTAGTTGTACTAAATGGGTCACAGGGGCTCTATATCATGATTTCATATGTACTTAAAGGTAGAGTGAAACGTATGTTTCAAGAAATTGGACTGCCTGATAAACCGAGGATTGAGAATGTAAAAGATTCACAATGCACTGAGCAGATAAAGATGGAAACTTCAAGGAAGCCATCTTACAATGAATATTCATGAATATATGTCATGAATATTTAAGAACATTACCATTGTAAAGATAATCATATCCAGTGTTTTACTTAACTAATTCTTCATTGTTTGTAGAGAATTTCAATGTTATTATATCATCCTTTGATGTTGCTTCATTATACATAGATATATATTTATTTGATTATTTTGGCAATTAGCCAAAATAATATTTTCAAACCAAACAAAGAATAAAAGTTCCCTGATTAGGTGTTACATAAAATTAAAAAAAAAACAAAGATAATGTGCATCAATCAAATGGAATTTGGTTTTTTTTTCTGTTTTTCTACTAGGTTATAAAACATTTTTTATGCAATAACTTGGCACATTTTCTATTTCCCTGCAACAAAAAGATTTTGGGGTTGTGGGTTATGGGGGTACAAAGCTATAGAATCTGCAAGGAAAGAATATTCTTAAGACAGCTCCTATCACCACAGGTCTTCAAGAAGTGATGACAAAGATGATTGTACGCATGTTTTAATTCTGTTCAGTGTCCCAGCATTTCCACTATTGAGTTTCGTTTTTTACACAGTCAAGTCCTTCAAAATTCAAAATATCAATATCACCTTTTTAACCTTTTTAAGTAATCTTGAAAATCTTTGAAGTCCTTTGTTTACTTTTAATCATTTTTCATTTCTGCTTAATTTTAAACTTTCACCTCTCTCGTTTGAGCGAAACTCGACGCTACCTTGTGATGCGCCGTCGCAACAAATATGACTTCAATTCTTAAAAATTCAAAATGAAAACATGGAAAGTATTTTCCCTATAAAATGATTTGAAATATCAGAATGTACAAACAATGCGTCGGTAATATTGGCATGTATATGTATTTATTCTCACCTGCCGGAAATAGTTATAAAGCCGACAGTCACGTGTTGCGTTTGAGTTAATGAAATGGCATAGAAAGATAACAACAGCACTCAATCTCAAAATCCATTGAAACAATTAAATCAGGAGCAGAGCAAACACAGATCTCTAAACACATCAGACGTGGAATCAGGTGCCATGGAGGAGTAAGCATCCTCTGTCGACCGGTCACTCCCGTCGTGTGCTCATTGTCATGATCGACCGAACAGAAAAAATCCGAAGAAACTTCAGTGTTGAAATAATGGCCTAACAATTAGTATGAAAAATGTCAGCCAGTATTCAACTTGCGAAAAGGTCACTTTCAATGAGACTGTTGATATCTTTGTTTCCTCAAATTGTTTTATCAATAGCGTGCCTTTTGCGACATTTCAATCCATTATTCACACCCTTTTATTATCCATTGATAAATCAACATACATATACTTTAATTGATAAAAAATGTCATTACTGCCACTTAATTCATAATTACTACATGATCCACCTTTTACTGTATACATACTACGCCAATTTTAAGTATGTGACTTCACATTAACAAGTGGATTGCGATTAGTAAATTGTTAAAATGTTTATCTTACTATGAGCGATTTAATTAACGACAAAAGTGCATGCAATAGTAAATTGTGATGTAGTTTAAAGCTCTTTGATGACGCAAGTCATTTCATTTTTCAGACAATTAGAAGAAGTGATATTTCTGCGTGTTGTCCTTGTGGATATTTCCCGTATTAACTAGGCCCCGCCTGTTTTTGTAGACTTTAATGTACTGCGTTTATGAAAGCTAGGTTTGAAAGTCGTTATTCCTCATACATTGGTTGGGCTAACACTAGTACTACTGGACGAAAGAAGTGCTGAAAATTTTTTACTGATAAATGTTTTTTTCTGTTAAAATTGACAATGAATGATGCTGTGCTGTTTTTGCTAATAAATGCTGATATGACTGATATTAAGGTCATTCGTTTCCAACGGAAGACCTTTTACTGATTCTGTTGGTTAAGATTATTATTCTTTTTTTAAGGATTTTCGTCTTCAGCGGAAGATCTTGTTATTCTTAAGTTTTTTCCCAATATTTTTATTATCCTTTGAGTCAGGAGAGGACAAGCAATTTTTTCTAAAAGATGGCCTAATTGTCATAAGATTACAATACCATATTTTAAAATGACATCTTCACGCAAAAAGAAAATTCCATTTACTCTGTTTAATATTATCTAGATTTTGGGAAAACATTTTCCTAGTGTACGCTGACGATTTCATTCAATGGTTTAATCAAAAATTGCTAAATATTACATAACCGTATTGTAATTGAGATCACTGTCATATTTTTGTCACAAGCAGTGTATTTTAAAAAATATGAGAATATTGTTGTGATAATTAAATTTTGAAAAAAGAAATGAACGTTGAAGGTTTTAATAGCCCTCAGTCCTATTTTCGCACCTTTTCAGCTTAAGAACAACGACCAAAGTGATTCTCAGCATCGACAGCACAGCAACAGTATTTCTTAGAATTCATAGCAATTATCAGACTCAATAGTAAAAACGACAATAGTTATCAGTATTAATAAAAAAAAACAATTAAAAGTATCAGCAACAACAGCAATAATAACAGTAAATATAAGTTTTTATATAAGCAAAAACAGCACAATATCAGTAATTGTCAAACATTTTCACTAAAATATGGGACTTTTAGTACTTTTTTCGTCCAGTAGTTTGCTGTCATAGTAGCTCAGTCTGTAGAGCGCTCGCTCTGTAATTAGAAGGCCATGAGTTCGAATCCAGGCCGCGACTGACCTAAGTCGATAAAAATAAAAAAAAAAGGTAGCAACTGTTCCTTCACCAGGCGCTCGGCACTTTGAAGTGAAAGTGCCCGAGTGCCGAGTAAAGTTCTAAATTTGAAGCCCTTCACCGGTATATGGTGACCTCTTTATATGGGTGAAGAATTTCCAAATAGGAATTAAAACAATGTACAATCAATCATCCAGTAGTGTAATAGATAATCAATAAACACCTCCCATCCAAAAAGACAGTGTATGCATCAGTTAATTCCATAAGCAGTTACAGTTTAAGTATATGCATGCAACAAGTATGGAAGCATAATTTACTAATTAATTTATTACCAAAACCTACCAATAGTTTATCTGAATATAAATATATACACTATTCAAAGTTTTATCAAATGTTATTCCAAACTTCCATGCCAAGTAACATTTTTTTTTTTACATTTTCATGTAGCAATTTATGAATTTGGTTTTCTTTTCAATTTCGGATACCATCACCAAAAGTTTGGTTTTTTTATAAGCGACAACAGCCCTGGCATCTCAGATATCTCAGATATTTTAAGGAAGT